AAAACAATTAAGTGAAGCCACGTAGTGGGAGATGAAACGAAGCAAATGCGGTCTCTTGAATCAGACCCCGGACAGGTCAAGGTGCAACCACGTGGTAACGTCTAGAGAGGAGTAAGGTGACCAGCACCCTGCAAATCACCCCATTGGATGCCGAAGAGCGCGGTTCCCGTCGAGGAGCTCTACTCGTGTGTTGTATTACTCAGGAAATCAAAGATTCATTACTGCATTCGGCTATTGGCGAGACTGATGCTTTCGGTTGTTGTTACGTGATAAAATCCTGAAATCAGGGACAGCGGTGGATCGAAGGCATTGCTAGGCGTCCTCCACGTCAAGCGGATGCCAACGATGAAGTTTCATTCATCGCGAGTTTTGGAGCGAGGGCATAGCTCCGTAGGATCGCACCCACACCGTCACCATGAGCAACAACGTGAGATGGGGCAGGATCAGGAGGAGAAGGGGGTCGCCCGGGAGGTCGGCGGTGATCGAGACGAGGAAAACATCGTGGCGTTGAGGATCGAATATGGAAGTGTTGCCGATCAGAACAGTTGCAGGAAGCCTGGCGCTGCGTGTTTGAAAACGAATACGGCGAGGGTACTGCCGACGATCGGGATGACTAAGAATGAGAAGGACGAAGTTTGGGAAATGGCGGTTGAGACGTTCGAGGATTAGAACGACGACGTTTGGGAAACCGTAGATAGTGACTCTCGTTCCTCGACGTTTTTATGCCATGATTACGCGAGTGACGCTGCAGTAGGATGCAGTCCACGGAACGAAGTCTCGCGCGAGCGCGTTTTTGGTATGTGAGTAGGTTGTGGATATGGTGTCATTCTTGGTTCAGATCAGGCTCTCTGGACATTCATTCACGTTAAGCTCTGTGGCTGGGGGCCCTGTATTTAGAAGGTCTGGGTGCCTGGTGACCGGATCGCGTTGTGCATGCGAACTCGATACTTTGTGCTGTTCTAGTCGTCGTGTTTCACCTTCGAACGAACCTGCATGTCGGATAAGTTGAATCTTTGTGTGGTTGTTTCGATTTTGATTCTGATCTGAAGTCCTGAGATGAGCCACTCTTTGAAATGTGTTGCTGGCTAAATGCGTACAGAATTGAGATGGTTTATACAGCGTTGTTTGAGATGCGTCAGGGCGACGAGGGGGGGTGGGGGAGGGGGTATACTCATGGCCGTACATGCCGCAGTCGTCAGACTATTGAACTCGCATCCTTAAAAAGCCGGGATGGAGAAAAGTCGGGTTCTCACTGGACCACGCTCTCACATCACCAAGCGCGAAGCTCCGTGAGGTGTTCGGTGAGTCGCATGAAGGGTGCGCTGCATCCTGCTAAGGGCGTTCGGCATCTTGTGCTTACTTCCTTCCGTACGGATGACAGCTGCGTATGACTTCATATATTTTCTGGTGCTTTCACTTCCAGAGACAGTTGTAAGCACTGTGCAGCTGCCTCGAGAGTGCTTGATTATTTCACACAACGCGACGAGGGGGGCATTTCCAGAAGGAGGTCGTGTGCGGTGCGAACCTTTCCTGGAGATTGTTACGTGTTTCGTGTCATGCCTTGATAGGACACGCAGCTTTTGAGAAGCCGGTATGCGCTTGGTGAGACTGGTTTCTCGGAGAATGACAGGAAACAACCTGTGTACGTCTTGTTGTTTTTCTGGCGAAGCAGGGGGGCTGTGTCAAGGGAGCATGTGGTGGATGCTGTATTTGTGGGTGAGGTCCGTCCCGTATGAATTCTACCATATTTGTTGGACGCTCCTGTTCAGTTCAAGTTATGCCGTCGTTCTCTTCTTGAGATGGCATTGGAGTTAAACGGGATGCAGTTGCTTTTTTTTGCTCTAGGAGGACGGTACGTGGCATATTCTGGCAGGGCGTGGTTGAACAATTTTTGCTTGTTGTGGACTTGGTAAGTGTTGTGGTCGTTGCGTTCGTTGTATTTCGAGGAAACTGCCAATGTCTTAAGCGTGCGGATACAGAATTGCATGGAATAGTCGTTGCATGTATTTCGTGATGTTGATCAATATTGTTTGGGTTGCTTCTATGGATGACTTGGTGTTTTAGCGACTCGAGAACTTGTCGGGAAACGGTATGATATGCTCGTTGATCAATATGACAATACGTTTTTTGTTGGGTGGTGTGTTCGGCTTCCACGAGGAACTTTTTCAGGAAAGGTGAGTCTCTTGAGTTTTGCGATAACAGGATAGTAGTAGGGTATGCGATCCGGTTAGAGGAGGACAATGTGGAAGGTAGCATGTTGCCGTGTTACCTGGCAACGTGTAGTGGGTTTCCAATATCGAAGTGTCTCGCACCAATTAGAGTGGGGTGCACTAATTAGCTATGGTAGCGGGCCCGTTCATCGTGCGTGAACCTCTTCCATGTTACTGGCTCCCCCCCCTCCCTACTGTTCTGGAGGTAAGGTTGGTTCGGTTGGTGCGGTGGTTGGATTGGTTCTGGTGGATAACCAAAGGTATTCTTCACTTATCATCTCGTACTTTCGCCGTCTGTGTGAATATCGCAGTCAACTCGACATCGGAGGAACAGGCATACAATCGAGGATCTGGATACGCGCGAGATTTTCGAGCACTGTGTGCTTGAACACCATCATCTGGTGCGGTGTTGGTGAAAACAAGCCGCCATTAAGACGCGAATCTGTCCGCAGCATACACTTGGCCTAGATGGATGCCCCAGGTAGGCAGGGGTGGTTGGGAGAGGATTTTTCCCAATCGTTTATTGCTGGGTGTGGTTGTGTGTGGAGATGTTGAGAAAACAATATTTTGAACAAGGAAGTCAATGCAGTGTCTTCTCTAAAGAGCCTACGCGTCAGGCTTGACTCCAACCCATCGTAAGTCCATGAGACAACACCATACAGTGAAAGGGTGGAACAGGACCAGAATGAATACTGTCCCAAGTCACGCTTCCTTGCCATCACCTCGCTACATCCTCGCGGGTGGGTACCGTTGTCTTCAATAGGAAGATGCAAACACACGCCGCAGACTGATGTGGCACGTGGCGGACTGACAAGAGCAGCCAGACCACGTTCGTACTTGGACACGCTTTTAATAGGCGACACACACCGATGTCGCCTAATACATGTCCCTGCACCTTCTTTTAGAATGGAACACTGGAAACAACTGCATGGTGCCGTCGACGAGTTCCAAACGGTGATCAAGTGCTTTTTCGTGCCGATGGACGTTGCTTCACTCCTTTCTCGTCTTACAGAAAAGACGATAAATGTTTCAAACCATCTACGAGCGTCCTCAACACAAGGCTACACCCGCACACGAACACGGACATAGTCTATACCCCGACAAACCCACCGCCGACTTCCCTGCCGCTGCAAGAACCATTCAGAAGAACCGGAGAGTTTCTTAGACCTATTGATCGTTGAGCATTTGACGCTCCCCTGGTAGAGATACCGCCCGCATGTCAGATTTGGAATATTTGTTTTTATGAGCACGGGTTGCATACTTCGTTTCGAGAATCGTCTGTACGTCCCTCTGTCTTACGGAGTTTCAATTTTGTAGGCTACACGTTTTGGGGGGTGCAGCCTAGTTTTCGCGGTGTCAAGCGGGGCTATTTTCCCGTCCAGCTAGGTGGCCTCGTCAACGAAGATGGCGAACTCACGCGGGCGATCACAACTACTGGAGCAGAGCGGCGTAGCGTAAGAAGGGCACCCACCGGCAACTCTCGTACGCCAAGACCCTGAGGAGGGTCGGGTGCTAGAGCGTAGAAGCCGGTGTTCGGCAACGGCGTCTTCTGTTCGCGGGAGCATTGGCGAGGCAGCCAGGGCGATTCCCGAAACGGCTGATGTTTGGCGAGCTGGTGGGGTGGGGAGAACCCAGGAGGGGTTGCCCGGGGCAGGACTGGCAGACGCGCCTGAAGGATGGCTTCAAGGTCTTCAGGGCTACGCACGGATCCATGGACGACGAGCGATGCGTCTTCGGAGTCCCGAAATTTGTTTGGACGGAAGCAGCGAAGGTGGAGCGGGGTGTGCCATGGCATACGGCGTCCTGGAGGGAGCTGGGAGGTTGGTGACACCTGGCACAAGGGTGAAAAGGAGAATATTGTCGACGACAAGCATTCAATCTACACAAGGCTACTAGCCATAGTACACATAGTCGATGGGAACAACCAAGGGGGCGAGAGGGGGCAGCAGACATTCGAAACGGCGAGGAAGAAAGGAAACGAGAAGACGTAGACCGAGTGAAGCGATATAGGCTGGATTGATTTCCTCGCAAATCCCCTCCCCCACTGCATCAGTGCCGCGCCCCGGTGTTTGCCATCGAGGTTGGGTTTTCGTCGCTTGGCAACGATGTTGTAACGAAAGCCACCCCCTCGGTGTTTGCCATCGGGATTGGGTTTTCGTCGCTTGGCAACGACGTTATAAAACAAGCCAGTTCACTTCGGGAGCTCGGCAACCAGGTTACCGGGTTTTTTTTTACAGCTTTTTTTTTGGCGGCAACCATAATGGTGGTCGAATAGATCATGTTGTGCGGGGTGGAGAACCCTCAATCCGCGCCAGGGGGATGATCGCACCACGTTGTGTTAAAATGGTCGAGCACCCTCGAGGNTAAGTCATGCGCAGATGTTATCCGTATGCAAGGAAGTAAGCACAAGATGCCGAACATCCTTAGCAGGATGCAGCGCACCCTTCATGCGACTCGCCGAATATCTCACGGCGCTTCGCGCTTGGTGATGTGAGAGCCTGGTCCGGTGAGAACCCGGCGTGCTCCGTCCCGGCTTTGTAGGGATGCGAGGTCAATGGTCTAACGACACGGAATGCACGACTATGAGTATGAGTACACCCCCCCTGCCTCATTCCATCACCCCCGCACGAGTGATGGTATGCCTTTGCTGGTGCTTGGTCTGATTGTGTTGGTACTTTCCCTCCGGTCCTATTTCTTTCGGTTTCTTTTTCTTTTGCTCTCTTCTACTGTCGCTGGAACGAAGTGACCGCACGGCGAAATCTCTCTCTTCAGTGCACATCAGTCCACCGCATGAATTTTCTGTTTATCAAAACCATTAAGTTCCCTCATACGAAACCGATCGACATGTTGCACAATCCGAAACCCCGGAGAATTTCAGGAGATTAGCCTTTACAACTGGGAGCTCCTCCTACCAAGGTCAACCTACATTAGCCTCACGTGTCAATAACGCAAGATGGCAACAGCCACCCTATTCCAACGCATTCTTCGAATAAGTCGACCACATCAAAATCATGCACAGTTTGTTCCTCGTTCGCCGTGCATCAAAACGTCCCTTGGGCGTATCCGAAAACGCTTTGCCTCCCCGGTTCTCTACTGCTTGAAACCGACAAGGGAACAATGCTTCAGTCTTCGCTTGGAAAGTCAACGGTCTGAAAGCTTCCACGCCTGAAGTAGTTCTTGCAACTGTGCTTTCGACATATCATTCTCCCGGAGTGGAGCTGAGCAAAATACGCGCGAAGCCCTCGTATGGGCGTTTTAGGCATACTCTAATTTATACCGAGTTTTCTTTCCGCGCCATGTGATGTGTAGCTCTCCGTCGCTGTCTAAACGAATGCCAACCTCTGTCCCATTGTCCTCGTTGTTGGCAATAATCGTCCCATATTCCTCGCACATGCCCGCGCGTGTTCCTATTTCGGGTCGGTGATCGTAGATGTCAACCTTCTTCCATTGCTTTGTATGGTTGCGTTTCAACTTGTGATACACATACCGCTTTTCAAGTAGCAGTCGCTGCGTCTCGTTTTCCAGTTGTTCCTTCTCATTCAACCGCTGTCGTTTTTCCACGTATCTGCTCCATACTACACTTTACCCCTACCAGATCATACTTATCAATGAAGGCGTCAAGCGCCGTTCGATCAGAGTTCACAGGGCGTTCGACGCCGCGCCAATCGATGTTGCCTTCAGCGAATGTTGAGTATATCAGCTCGATACAAAGCCGTGCGGCTTCAGAGGCGTCCCCGTCGAATCGTACTGGGTCTCCCATCGACTCGGCGAATTCCCCCGTCAGCATCGCTTTCCACACCGGCGAAGCCTGAGGTAAAACAGCCCGGTGCACCCTGAACGTCCTGCCACCGAAGTCGATAACCATGTCGCCATCGTCATACCCGCTCCATTCCTCCTCGACCATGGCGCTTGCAGCAGAGGGAAGAGGGGGCCTGTAGTGGACTCTTCTCTCCTGCAATCATGTAAATCGACATTGATATCGATTTTGGAGGAGGTGTCATTGTTTCGGTCTCGCTTATTCCCCAAAAGCTTGATTTTGTAGTGTTACCAATATTCTAATGGCGGACACTGTTATTTGGGTTTCCAGAAGAAGTCTTAATAACGTACTGCCTGCAGGACCGTTCGTTTTCGCCCCATCTTCATGCGCTCTCCCGAATCAACCACTGTTTGCCATTGGTACCACAGCTTGCTTTGGGCAACCGTGCTGGTCCTCTAAGAGCGTTCGTGTCTATTTTAAGGTGGTGCAGAGAGCAGCGAGGAGATGAATGTACGCACAATAAGTAGTGTGATAAATCTTGTTACATCCTTACGACGACGACGGTTAGGGCACGAAGAAAGCGGTAAGTTTAGTCTAGATTGGTCTAGATGGACAACGCCTAATACTCAGTCTGATGTAGAGGGAACAGACGAGGATAAGATTTTCTGTGCTGTGTGCAAAACTACGCCAATTGGGTTGGTTCGAAATTGGAGAACAAACAGCTGTGACAACCCGCATGCCTTGGACTGAGGGATAGCGTGTACATGACATGTCTTCGCACGTGTATCCAGAGTGCAAGACTGTTCGGGAAGAGAGACATACAAGCACGCCTGCACAAATCGCCGCTTCCATCCCTCAACGGGCGCGCGTATGTACAAGAACAAATAAATGTTTCCCTCGGAACGCAAATGTTTCCCTCGAAATGCGGCGAATAGTCTATTGCGAGGCACACGCACGTGTCCTTCCGACGAGAACGAAATCCACTACGTATTGCGCGAGCGCGTGAAATAATTTCAAGCCGTTGTTTTGCGGCGAAAAACTTCCGCGACCCTGTCGTTGGCAGGGTAATTGCGGGGAGGGAGGCAACTTACACAAGCGCAAATTGGTTGAGATCGGAGTTATTGTACAATGGATGCACGGACGGATATGGGAAGAAAAGAGAGTCATTAATGATCAAGTTCACAAGCTGTTGGCGTGCATGCAAAATGCGGCGGAACATACTTGCGCGTGCGCCGCGCGATGGAACAAGCGGTCACAAAAAGGAGAACAGCTGTGACAATCCGCATGCCTTGGACTGAGATCGGGTGTGTGCCAAATGTGTTCGCACGTATCCAGAGAGCAAGACTGTTCGGGGAAGAGAGATACACAAGCTCGCCTGCACGAATCGCTGCTTCCATCCTTCTGTGCGCTCGCGTATGAACACAAAAAATAATGTTTCCCTCGAAACGCGGCGAATAGCCTGTCGCGGGGCACACGTGTCGAGATCAAGATGAAGTATACAATGGATTGGTGATGTTTTTGTTACGCACATTTCGCGCGCGTTGAACATTTGGAACCGTCGTTGTGCGGGGAACATACTTCCTCGTCCGGAGGTTGAAGCGGTATGGCCCAAACGTCTCGTTGGCAGGCCATAATGGTAGGCACACAGCTATTCCAGCATCGAAGTATTTGTCTATCCAGCTGCAGATTGGACGGGGCTTCAACTTGGTGGAGGATAGGCAACGTTCAGGCACAAACCGACCGAGATCGGAGCAAGTTGGGGTCGGCAGCACCTGCTGCATGCTCGTGTTTCGTGCATGACGCTGCTGGTCACCGACACAGCCAATCGTCAACGCAGAATACATCTATCAAGCTGAAACTTGCGAAGGGCTTCCCAAGAAGTGCAGGACGGGGGTGCTTTCTCGCGTCTCGGGCTTTGGGCTAAACAAAATGCGTGGTTCAGGCCTTCGGACTGAAAATTGACCTTTTGTTCATTCGTGAATTCACTTTTTTTTTTCCTTCTGTGAGACCTCTACAATAGAGACCGTATCGGTCTCTTAGAGGAATTTGAGGAAATAGAGGGTTCCGTGGTTTGGACAATCATGGATACATGTTGTAACGCCGTTTGACAGCTCTGATCCAGCGAATAGACAGATATGAGCGACTCTTGTTGACAATAATGGACATCCTGTGTGTTCCTTGGCCTGGTTTGCTAAATACCGTGACAGACACATGCCTACATGGGATCGAGGCGAGTGGAAATACTGAACAGGGCCCAGCTTACTCATGTTGCAGGTGGTGCGTACAGTAGGCAATATCATCGGTTCGTTTTCGTGGATTCGAAATGTATTCTGCCCTCACTCCAGGGGGCGAGTTAACCTTAGCGGTCGATTATTGGCCATGTTGTTGCCCGTGTGTGGGTGTGAGTATGCGGTTGTGGGTGGTACGGTGGTTGTAAACATATTCATTACAGTATGTATTGTGCGTGGCTCAGTTTCCAGGAGGGAGTGATGACCTCTGCGATGGTTTTATTTATGCGTTATTTCGTCCACGGTGACGTGTTATTCTCTACAGTCGGACATCGATCCTGGAAACAACACTGATAGATGGGCAATTGTGTGGGAAGTGTGTTAGTTATGGAATGAAATTTTGGGAAATGAGAGATCGAAGGAGGAGTGATTGACAACATGTACGATAGACATTTACGAGTTGAGCTATTTATCGCAGATATGAAGGCGATTCCTAACAAAGAGCTCGACCGCCATTCTGCCTGACTCTTGCCACTGGCACATTTCACCACCGATACACACCCGTGCCTTTCAGCATACCACTAGGGGACACGCCCCGTGCCTCTCGAGGGATGCACTGTTAAAAATATCAGTATCAACTGACGAAGTGTGCTGTTATAGGTATCATCTTGCATACAACACAGTGTGCGATGTCACATACATCATGAGCGACTTCAGTAGCACAACCATTCATCATCCCGGTTCCAGTACACGTGACATGGCACAAAAAACGCGGTATATTAAGCAATTAAGAAAATAAATTCAAATTGATGAACAATATTTCAGGAAAGTTATCTAGAACGACCCACTGATGGACGCGGAAAGTTCCGTAACGGTTAATAGAATTTTTCCTAGATCGGGCGTACTTTCTTCCTAGCACGGTTCTCAGCAACGTTTTCAGGAAAAGTCCAGAGTAAGGATAGAAAGGTTCCCGGAACATTTTCGGAACGGTTCCGGACGGGTACTGAGGTTCTTCGTTGTTTCGTCGGCGAAAAGGCTGACCAGGCAGAGCGCACGCCCCCCACCGGACCTCACTCTGTTTCCTGCCCAGCTCAACAATAGAACACCTCCGCACACCGGTCAACAAGGTGTGGCACACGCTTCTGTTACGTTACTTGCTCACTGCTGCTACCGCCGTAGCAAAGGTCACTTGGACCGATAGACTGCTGACTGCGTCATCAGCCTATTATCATATTTGTAGTGAGGACCTCATTTCAGCAGATCTAACGTTCGCTGAAAAGGACACAAGGGGCAATCTAGCACAAGCAACCACCAGGCAACTGCTCTTGACGACATAGTCGTAAGCCTGTGATTTCCAAAATGCACAATATTCATATGAGTCTCAGTTCTCAGAAAAACTCGGTGCATTGCTAGAGTGACCACTGATGCAGCATAAACGTACAAGAAAATGATAAATTTGGCGGGCTGAATATTAACACCACCAGTGAATTTCCAACATCATCAGCGAATAATAGTTTCAGGTTCCTCGTGTGAAGAATCCCGAGCACCAGTCGGCTCCGGGCCAGACTCCGTTTCCGTGGCATACTCCTCACCCTCCACATGGTTTGTAGTCAATAAGTCCACGAGGGAACCGACTACTGTAGCTTGAAAAAATAGATTACGTTTCCAGCCGGGAAGGATCACGTGGGCTTGGCTGCTCCCTCTACTATAGGCTGGTTTGGTTTCACCCGCATCCGGATAGAAATCGGTTCTTGCATCGATATCCAGCGGCACAAAAAACAGCAGCAAGAACGCTTTTCTTCTTCAGGAGTGATGGACAATTCTCTGGACCCGTGTGTCTATTCTCGTATGCATACAAGAACGTATGTTGTTCCTTGCTCAAGAGATTGGTGACTATAGACATCCGGTGCTTGCGTGGAAGATCGATGATCCAAAGGGTACGCACCGAAAACCTACCATTGAACGGCGGTAGAAAATGTTGATGTATGTCGTGTCGTGTTTATGATCACGAAATTCCCATGTGGCACGAACGCGCTGAATACAACGTCAATGAAGGACTGCCCATACCCAACAGAGGCAAATTTTCAAGGGAATAAATAGGGTCCACATGTCTCCGACTACGCTTGCCGGAGACTATGAGATTGTCGAAGTAGTGCCAAAGTCTTCGTATCGAAGGTTGTGATGCCGGCGAGAGCTTACATTTTTAACCTAGGCTCTTCTTGAAATATGTTTCCCGCTCCATCAAGCAAATTTATTTCCGCGGCAATTCAGCCACTTCTCTACCCTTCTGTCTACTCCTGACAGCGCAGGTTTCGTTCCACTCTTATTGCTTCCGTAATAGTCTACATTGTTCTCTCTCATTTCACAAGCACGTTTCACAGACACATTCGCGCAGCAGATTAGCAATGACCTTCGCCTTGGCATTGCTGACGTTGGGCGGCGGTGTAAAGCTCACAAACCAATACCTGGCATGTAGACCATGCAGTCCCATGCAACCCTCTACGGGGTTAACGGCAAGAGTTAGGGGAGAACTCCTCCATTACCTTTGGATAGCAAAGGCCCCCAAGAGGGGAGGAATTCATGCTGCTGACCCGTGTGACCCCCGGACACAAGACGATCGCGGCATATATATCCGGACATTGCTTTCGAACGTTTCACAGGAGCAGGAGGTCATTCGCATACGCGCACGATCTACGATCTTCGAGTTATTACCGCATTCGTACCGTTTTTCGTGTGTGTGTGTTTTCATCGCTTTGTTGTGTAGAAAATATTCATTATTGCCTCCCTCTATCTTTTTTTCTAGAAAAATGTGTTCCCCCGAATGATAAAGGCAGCAATAGCCGTGAGTGGAGTACACGAGGTCGAGTTGATAGTACCCGGAAACGAACTGAGTAGCAGTTACAATCAGATTTATCGGGTAGCTTTGCTCTACGGTAGTCCAGGAGTCACGCAAGTGTCCGCTTGACTGGGGCTTGGGGGCAGCAAAGCGTTTGGTCAGCGAAAGTAGTAGGCACTACTGTGGTAAGAAGTAGGCTAGTTTCAGGGGCCGTTTGGACCTTGTCCCCGTTTTCTGGTTTGTTGGCGTTACAATGCGGCGTAGTTAGCTATTCTCCGAGATGACGTGTGTGTTTGCATGAAGTTGGCTCTGTGTCAACCCCACGAGTTCAGAGAAGATAGAGCTAACCGGGCAAGGGGTTCGGTTGCAGAGATCTAGACAGAGGTTTAGTTCAGCATGTGTGTGCGTAGATAGGTTGAACAGCAAAGGCAGCGTTGGTATGCAGCTGTGTTGAGTGCAGCAGCCGCCGAGGGCGAATCAACGACAAGAGTCCTCAACAGCTATCTGTCCATTCCCTTCCTCGATGAGATCCGTAAAGACGTTCAAGCATCCACAGGAGACAAGAACCTCGAACCTAGCGCAGAACCTTGTTGATGCAGAGCCTCACTGCTTTGGATTTGATTGGATAATTGGATCATCAATAGAACCCGTAGTCCAAGTATTACACTACAATGCAGTACATGCCCTACATGTAGGCGGAATAGATCTGGTGGAATAGAGCGTGTGACAGAAGCTGGTCAAATGTTGATGCCTATGTGACTGCGACAGCGTGTGCCACAGTAGTCGCTAGCAACAGCGCATCAGAAGTGATTTATGAACATGTTGATTCAAAAAAGAAGCTGCTTAAAGCCCTGCACGGGTTGGAGCTGGGGAGATAGAACTGGTGAGATAGAGCTCATCCAAACGTTGCTCTTCTACAGCACATCCTGCTGTACACAATGTCCCAATTGTTTCGCTGTGTCATCATCAGCAGCGACCGCGAACTCGGTGATTGCTGATGTGCACCATGTGAGAGAAAGTTCCAGGAACGCCAACATTCATAAGTCATCGCCAACGAGTCTGCAGAGATCAACGCGCCATACCGATGACGTGGCTGTCAGAATCTTCCAACAACACGACCGATTCACAAAGCAGCTTGCGATACAACCGATGTCTAGACTAAGTACGTGCACAATCGCCTGTGTTTCCTTCGCCCGATGTTCCATCATCATTTCACAACATGCTTGTAACGATGTAGCGCATACGATGCAACACTATCGTGTGTATCAAAGTGGAGCTATCAGACTGCTAGCGTATCTGCACTTACGCACATTGAAGGCAAGGCCCGCGACCCGTTGAAGCCCGGCCGCGAAGACGAAGACGTTGGGCGGGAGAGCTGTACACACCAGACAATGAAGCGCCGATTGGATAGCGGGTTGCGGCTACAACGACGGGTCTTTGAGATAATCGAGTGTGGGGGGAATCAGGAGAAACAGGGCGGTGGGGTCGGACTCGCTCTTTCTTGCTATGGTGCATGAACAAGCGTTCGCAACCTAGACTATGCACACAGGTACAGGTACCAGCACAACAAGCGGTTTTGATTTTCTACAAGAATCGAGAACCAACGGTGTGGTTCTTTTTCCCGAAGAGGTACAGAACGTGCGGTGGAGAACCAATTGTAGAACCAGAGCCAAGAGGCAAGCGCGGAATCGGGCAGTGGGCATTACGACAGTCAGTCACAAGTGACAACTGGCCAGCGTGGCGTGTAGCGGCGAGCGGGGTGGGCGGAATGGCAGTGGTGAGCAGTGACCCTGTAGCAGCGAAAACCGTAGGAGCTTCGGGAGAAGACTGCTGTGGAGAGGCGAAACCTCTCCCAAGAGGTGGTGCAGTATGAGCGGCAACGACGCCCCCCGCAGCAAGAGCATCGACGAACAGACTCGGGCTGACTCACGGCGTAGGCGGCAGGAGCGAAAGAACGCCCAGCTTGAGGCCCTTCAAACCGGTGTCTGGGAGCGGTGCCTGTACCGTGTCCCTGGCAAGGCGCGATACTGTGCACAGCATAGGTGGGTGGGTGGGCTTGCGGGCCGTGTCCCTGCAACACGCTTGCGGACAAACTGCTCGGCACGGGCTCCAGAAATGGACGCTACGTACCGCGCCGCATGACTACATCCCCCCAAGCGAGAACGATGTTAATGCATCACCCCTTTTCGCCCTGATTCCCTCAGCCACCTCGCACGCCAGTGCGTTATGTATTTCAGTAGTCTCGCCTATTGGGTACGGCACTTAGCTAGGGTCGGAGGCACATGGGCATGCCGCCAAGTTGATGCCGCAGCTGTCGAAACCAGGCTTCGTTTTTCGAGTGTGGCGTGCGTCAAGTGAAGATAAGAGGCTCATTCGATGCTGTGCCGGGCGACATGTCAGATTTGGATCGCTTTCACTTCAGGAGCCAGGATCTACTGAGTAACCACACTATGTCAGCCCTGCTGCCTGTATCGACCATCAACGCACTTTAGCTATCATACCTGCAATCTTGTCGATTTTGCGGCCTTGGGTTGAGCTCATTCTTCCCCAACCGTGGGCGGAAGGAGGTGGCCCCCCTTCCAGCAGAGTGTTTCGACGTGGAACCAACCGTACGCCTCGCTCGCCCGCCAAACAAAGTGTGGTCTCAGTCGCTATTAGGCAAGTCGCAGCAGTGTCTGGTCCCGTCCTCGGCGCATCGACGATGTGGAAGATTTCCTAGACACACTGATGAGTCTGCACGGGTTGGGTGCCACTGAAAATAACCGGGGGCGGTTAGACTCGATAGGAACCACCAGCCTTAGCGAAAACTAGGGAAGACACACTGTTGGGCTCGTTGTCATTGTGTGCGTGTGCCAGCCTTTGCCTCTGCGTAAAATCGAGGCGTTTTGCACTGCTCCAAGCGTGACTGCTGCCATCTATCCCGCAAGGTGTGCGCACGCCGAAAGACGATACATGGACGTGTTTATTTCTGCCCTCGCCCAAGCGGATCAGCACCCGCTGCCGGGGAAAATAACCGACGTGTCTTCGCTTGGCCTCTTCCTCTGCGCACCGTGCTTGAACACTTTTGCTTCAAGTTTGACAAGTATTAGTTGACGACACCCAGAGCAACATTTACGTCCCTTGCTTTGCGCTTGGATTCCTCCGAATGATCATGTATCAAGGAGCAAGCACAGCGCATCGTTCTGCGGGACTCACATGGGCGAGACGGCGGAGAAGGGGAAGAGGGTGCCCTGTCCAGTGGACCCGAATCACACGGTGTTCGAGCAGCAGCTCTCATCTCACGTAAAGGTGAGTCCATCCTACTTGTAACCAGATGGGATAAGCAAGTGTGTATTCGTCTGTGTCCGCGCCCTCTAACGCTTCCTCCGTACTCATTGCTGGGGATGTAGCCCCAGGGAAGGGGAACAGGGATTTTCCGGCCGGGGTGGTGCCACGTTATGGAAATATAGGGAGGAAGCGAGTCCTCCCGTGACTAATTGCTTTTCAACTCCTGAAAAGGTTTTACCCGAGAGCAAATCCCTCTGCGAATCAATTCGAGCGTGTTTGGCTCCAATGTCACGGAGCGTAGCATTGCGCTTTGTGACGGGACCGCTAGACACAACATCGAGCATCAAATGCTCCGACAACAACCTTCGGGCGAATTCCATTGTTTTCCCGAACCAGAACCTCTGCAAATCGTACAAACGCAGTGCATTATTTTCTAGCAACAGAAAGCGCTGGCGGCTCTAGAGGATTTTTTCGGTGTGAAAATGGCGAGATCCACAGCGTCCGCCAATATTGGCAACGGTCGGCTATCGTTGGTGGATACCATGGTTGCCGCCATGTCAACATCGCAGAAGCACTAATCTTACCGAGTCGGCAGGTGGCTCGTGGTGTTGCTTGCAAGTAAGGCACTGCATTTGTACGTTTTGCGAAGGTTGTCACATGGTGCATCAGAAACCGCAGCAATGGTGTATCTTGTGGCCCTCTGCATACAACATTGCTGCGTTTGTAGTCCCAGCAGGACCCTGCCCCATGAGTAAGCCTACAGTATAAGAATTTTTTTCGTGAGAAGCACACACCCAATCGGTCTGCACGCAAGCTCGTCGGTCAACGAAAATATTGTAAAATGCTACTTTGAAGTATCTTTGGAAGTTTGAAAGTACTCGAATTCTGCACTCTCCCGTACACACGCGGCCTTCGTCGCGCCGACACCATGTGTCTTGAGCGGCTCATCTCATATTTGGTGGCGGTGCAGATAGCCTCCATACACGTTGTAAGAACGGTGAACACGGTCCCGTCCAGTTGAGATATGTGGCGCCGGCGAGCTTACGAGACTAACACGAGCAGCGATCTCGGCGGGTCTCACCCCAAGCTCCCCCGGCGGCCCCATACCGAACCATGTGGCATGTGGGGTCGACTACCAAGGTCTGCAACCTGGCGCTTCAGCAGGCCCGCATGGTGACCCAGCCGTACTATTCCGAGGGTATTAACTCTGGTCCCCCGCTTCTCCCCGGAGAGGAAGAGGAGGAGAAGAACAACGAGAAGGAGGAGGACAGGGGCGATGTTGCTGTTGTCGCTGCTGTTGGCGCCGCTGCCGACCTGGACGTGAGTGGCGGTATGCAGCGCCATGAAACAAATTAACAACATGAGGGATTTGTCCTGTAGACGAATGCTCCAATCGGTGCTGTTCCATGTGTTGCCTGGTGTCTAGGACGCGAGACTCTGCTGATCGCATAACAGAAGTAACCAACAAGAGCAGCAACGACAGATACATCATTAGTACATCGAAACGAAGAAAGAAGTGTAGGACGTGTCGGGGGGAATATTGGTCGGCCGCAGGCGGTGGTCGCGTGAGCAGCAACTGGCTAGATTGCACCTGGTGACGGGTGACATGGGGTCAAGATAACCTATACCTGTATCGAAGGTACTGAGAGGCCCTGCCCCGGTACGAGAGTTTGTTCTCAACGAGGTCACAGTCACCTCGGCGCTGCCGGCATCGCTTTGCCTCCTTGTATATGTGATGTTTTTGTCGCCCCTCCAATAGGAATTGTACCAAGTCGCATGCCGTGTCTGTTGTGTTTGCGGTGTTCTGTGTTGCTCTTGTTTTCGTTGTATTCGCGTCGTTTTCACTTTCTGACTTTTCTAGGCACATGCTTTACGCAAACTTCTCGGTGAGGCAGGCTCCGAGCTGATTTTGAACATTCTTCATACTTCAACACATCTGCAAGCGTATTATTTATTTTTCGTTCGCGAAAATGTTTTACGTGGCATTCATGCAACGATAGAAATCTTCAATAATTGCACCTGGTACCAGCTAGTGAGGAAAATTTTCATTTTATTGGCAACGGATTTTCATTGCAATATCGTTTTGTTCCAGAATTCCAATATGCAAGAAAGACCCTGCGGCATAACCGAATAGCAACAGCAACTAGCCAGAACCAGAATGATGCACGCAACCAACAAGCACTACGGCGGGCGTTTCTCTCCGCCCATCTCCCGCTCCTTTTTTTTGCACATAGGATGCGTTTGTGGTAGACCTGCTATCCCGGGTCGAAGCTGCGCACCGCCATCTCGTCGGGGAAATTCCCACGGAGGTGCTGGATCCCCCGGAGGTGCAAGCGCTACACAGGTGGGCCGTGGTTGCCGTCGTTGTCGTTGTTGTTGTTGTTGTTGTTGTTGGTGGTGGTGGTGGTGGTGCTGCTGCTGCTACCGATTTGTGCTGTTATTGTCGCCGTTGTCTGTGGTGGTGCCGGTGTTGTGGTCGCTGTTGTTGGCTTCACATGAAGAGTTGAGCATCTGGCCTTTATCCAGTATATACCTCCTGTTCCGCAACTCTCCGAGGCAACCCAAAACAGGCTTCCCAGAATAGGGTACAACAAGAACCGACAGCAGTAGGTGGGGAGAGAGTCGCACCGCTCGGCGTGTTGATGGATGGGGGGGCAATCGAACGGGCTTGCGCGTATTTGGGAGCCTGGGTTGTGGCAAGATTGTGAAGGTTTTGCGATCCGTGTCTGAACGCGACATGCCCACGCGCACGTGCCGACCACGCGCCCCGTAAATATATTTAGCACGTCTAGTGCTACTGTTCCGCTCTAAATCCTTTGTATGGGACCCCCCCTCCTCGCCACCCCCGCCCCCGGTGTTTGCCATCAGGGTTGGGTTTTCGTCGCTTGGCAACGACGTTGTAAAACAAGCCGCCCGCCCCGGTGATTGCCATCGGGGTTGGGTTTTCGTCGCATGGCAACGACGTTGTAAAACAAGCCGCCCCCCCCGGTGTTTGCCATCGGGATTGGGTTTTCGTCGCTTGGCAACGACGTTGTAAAACAAGCCAATTCACTTCGTGAACTCGGCAACCAGGTTACCGTTTTTTTTTTTT